GCATCGCTACTAGTAACAAGGGCATTACTAACTACTAGTAGCTAGAAGCTGATAGTAACAAGGGCATCCCTACGAGTAACAAGGACACTACAAACTACTAGTAGAAGCTACTACTAGTAACAAGGGCATCGCTACTAGTAACAAGGGCATTTCTAACTACATCCCTCCTAGTGACAAGGGCATTACTACTAGTAGTTAGAAACTGCTAGTAACAAGGACATCGCTCCTAGTAACAAGGACATTACTAACAACTAGTAGCTAGAAGCTACTAGTAACAAGGGCACCACTACTCGTAACAAGGGCATTACTAACTACTAGAAGCTAGAAGCTACTAGTAACAAGCGCATCGCTACTAGTAACAAGGGCACCGCTACTAGTAATAAGGGCATTACTAACTACTAGTAGCTAGAAGCTACTAATAACAAGGGCACCGCTACTAGTAACAAGGGCATTCCTAACTACTAGTAGCTGGAAGCTACTAGTAACAAGAGCATCGCTACTACTAACAAGGGCATTACTAGCTACTAGTAGCTAGAACCTCCTAGTAACAAGGACATTACTAACTACTAGTAGATAGAAACTACTAGTAACAAGGGCACCGCTACTAGTAACAAGGGCATTACTAACTACTAGTAGCTAGAAGTTACTAGTAACAAGGGCATCCCTAGTAGTAACAAGGGCATTCCTAACTACTAGTAGCTAGAAGCTACAGTACTAGTAACAAGGGCATGTCAAACTACTAGTAGCTAGAAGCTACTAGTAACAAGCGCATCGCTCCTAGTAACAAGGGCGTTACTACTAGTAGCTAGAAGAGCTTGGAGCTAAATGAGAGCTATGTTGAAATTGAGAGCTTGGAGAGGTGTGGCTTCAGGCCCAGAACCATCCAGAACCGCGCCCAAGTGGCCCAAGATTGCAGAAAAAACCATTTGGGTAGCATGTACTGCAAGGCCTGGCCAAGTGCCTCCAGTTTATCTATATATATCTATATATATATGTTTTCTATCTTTATCGATTCTAGGATTCTAGGCCCTGTAAGGAAGTGTATGGAATGGCCAGGATATGAGAGCGTCCGTTGTACCAAGTGAAGAGCAACTTGTCTGGCACGCGCGCCAACATTGTTCAGGAAGTGCTGCCATGTGTGCGGCAGGAGGCGGCCCAAACCCCGGGCTGGAGTCAACTTCGGTATAGCCCAGTGGACTGAGAACATGGATAGAATGCAATGGCAGCGCAAACAACAATTAAGTGACCCCTCGATCCACAACATTCCGGCGACACTTGATGATTCCAACTGACCGTGAGATGAGAGGATGTCAAATGAGATCCAATGAGATGGTCAAAAAAACAGTCTGGTGAATATTACTACAAGTGAAACATCGAGGTTCATGGTAACCCAAAACTGCTTGAAATATGACTTTGTGATACTTTGTGTGTATGTGCGTGTGAGGTCATTTTACTTGATTTCCCCGCAACTCAGAAGTTCCTAGAATGTTTAACTCAAGGTTTCCTGGACATACGTTGTCTTTATCATGTTTGCTGTTTTGCAAACGCAACGCCCGTAAGGTATACCGGTAGACCCCTTTACTTTAGGTTCCAGCTGTGCTTCGTAATTCTTCAATCAATCACAGAACTCTGAAGTTTGGCGCAGGTCTTTTATATAAACAGGTTTCTTCCGACTCCTCCAAGTCAAAATTTTTGACGCCAAAAATTGACAGAAACACTTCCTTCCTCAGAATGGCAAAACGTTTCAGAACACCCGCACGAACACGAACTGGGGAGAAGAACATGTCCTTGGTTAATGGCTGCACAAGTAAGATCAAAATAGTTTGGACTGAGCAGCGAATCTCTGGCTTGGTGATGAAGGCTGTGCGTTGCCAATATTGCGCAGCTGGCGGCTGGGCATTCATAGATGGACTCCCAGGAAATCATCTGGGCCATGCAATGATCCAGGCGGTGAGCTTCCAAAATTAGTTTACTTCGAGTAGCCCCCACCAGCAGTGCGAAACACCACTCGACCTGCTCGAAGCGCAGCCTCAAACACTGCTCCATTGCGTTCTTTGGAGCAATGAGCATGATGTCATTGGAATGGGTTGTGTTTGGTGGCGCTTGCGCTGCGTCCCAACAGAGCTCAGCTCGCTAAAGCGACTCCCCGTTTTCGATGTAAATCCTCGCCGGCCGTTCTCCTGGAATAGCCACCGCATCCATGGGTTCCGATGTATTTTGGCGCGCCATGGTTTCTCCATTCAAAGAAATGATTTTGTTTGTGGGTCCTTGGTTGTGTGCTGTGGTTGTGGTTGTGCGTTGTGGTTGTGTGCGGTGGTTGCGTATTGTGGATGTGTGCTGTAAATGTGTCTTTGTGGCAGTGTGTTGTGGTTGCTTTTGTGTGGTTGTGTTTGTGATTGCGTGTTTGTGGGTGTGTTTGGGGTTGTGTGTGTGGTTGTGTGATTGTACTTGTCTGCTTCTCTCTTCTCCAACTTGATGCTTTCTTACTTGCTACTTGTCCGTGCTTACACAACTTGCATTATTCCGCAAAGACGCTTCGCGCCTCCATTTTCTGTTCGACGCTTATGGTTGGACAAAGAGAAGCAGATGTTGTGCTCCCAGTGCTGAAATCTGAATGCTCTTGCTGAGCATACCAAAAAGCATTCTGATCCCCATGTGCTTAGCGCCGACTCTGAGCTTTCAACACCCAAAGAGAAGCAAATGTTCTGCTCCCAGTGCTGAATCTGAATGTTTTTGCTGAGCAATAACAAAAGGCATTTTCATTTCTGCCCGCTGAGACTTAAATTTCTTGCTGAAAAATAACGGTCACCGGTGAGCGCTGCTAGATTTTGACAGCTTCGTCTGATATGCAACAGTGACATTGGGGAAGTGTTGGGGGTGGGGGGTGTGGTATCCAAATAAATCCTGAACTGATTTGGGCCCACCTGATTGTCGAAGTCAAAGCAGACTGTTTGGTGAACCAAAGCACGCATGTTTGTGGTTGTGTGGTGGTTGGTTGTGTGTGTTTGTGACTGTGTATGTGCGCTTGTGGTTTTGTTTGCGGTTGTGTTTGTGATTGTGTGTTTGTAGTTGTGTGTTGTGGCTGTGTGTTTGTGATGGTGTTTGCGACAGTCACACAGAACACATAGTCCTCTACAAAGAGCTGGCGTTTGAGGTCCGGCAGGGAACACTGCTATAAGCGGACCTCGCGGTTGAGGTCCGGCAGGGATCGAGCGCTACCAGCCGAAGCTCGCAGTTGAGGTCTGGGAGTCTGGCGGGGAACACTGCTCCGTAACCCTCGCAGTTGCGGTCCGGCGCGGCACACTGCCACACGACCCTCGCAGTCGCTGTCCGGCGGGCGGTTGAGGACGACGCGGAGGATGAGAAGGACGAGGAGGAGCGGGAGGAGGAGGGCGCGAGGTAACATAAAATCTAATGTCCCTCACCTGACTAATTACTTGTTTTGGCAGGCAATGTGGCAAGTCTTCGGCCAGTGGTATTGGTATGAGGGATACTCTGAAGAGATTCCTGGTGAATGCCCAACAAAGCCAAAACGGAAGAGTGAGACTAGAGCCTCTATCCACGAGACCGCCTCCTTGTCAAGTCGCTCCATCCTTAGTTGTTTCAAGTTCGCTCCTCACACTGTTGCGTGGACCTTGCACTGCGCTGAAATGGTCAAAGTTCAACTTCCCCGAAACCGCTCTTTGTTCAGCTGTTGCTGTAGCTGCTGCGGTTCCTGTGCTTGTTCCTGTTCTTGTTCTTGTTCTTCTTCTTCTTCTTCTTGCTGTTGCTGTTGCTGTTGCTGTTGCTGCTGTTGTTGTTGTTGTGCCATTCTTATGACGCCACGCAAGTCAATGTGATGGCAAAAGGTAGAAGTGAGGTGAGCTCCTCACAAACATGTGTGATGGACCTATACCTGAAGAATACCCGGTGACCGATGCACGCGTGTTCAGGCTGAAGCAGCAACCAGCCCCCAACGCCAACTTAACAAACATGCTTGGCTAACATGAGCAACAAACAAAATGACAAAGCAGAACTTTGGTCGATTGATAGAGCAGCTGTCCGCGTTTGTATCTCCGTAAAGTGACAGCTAGTTTCCCGAAATCTTACTTCATCTTGACTCAGTGTTCAACAGCAAGGCAAGCATGTTCTCTGTTGCCCAAGAGTGCTGAGACTGGATGTCAAGCTTTTGTCCGGCAGCACACACCCACTTCTCTGTTTACAGCATGTGCAGAGCTGTCATCAACTCCTTGTCCTTTACACAACTTCACAGTGTTTAGATGTCTTTGCAAGGATGTGCGTGATTGGAACGTAGCACCGTTTAGCAGGGGGCAGTGGCCTAGGAGGCGACCGCAAACACATGGCTGACAGTGACATGTCTGGGATTCATCAACGAAGAATATCTCATTCATCACGCTTAGGCACTGGCATTGGGTAGCTCATCAACTATGCTGAAACCTATATTCACAGAACCCAACACATAAAACATGAAAACACATATGTCTTATTTGAACAAATTATTTAACAGTAAAACATATTTTAAAAACATATTGCAAGAAACAACAGCAACATTGCACCCTGTGACCCTCCACTCTTGTCTTCCAAAGAGGTGACAGATCTGTGGTTCAAGTCTTTCTGCTATACTTTGCCTTCACTGGCATCTCAAACACAATGGCCTCCAAATCTTCCAGGGTTTCAATTGAAATTTCACCTGGCTCTTGAACTTTGGAGTCTTCCAATGTGTACAGTGGTTTATTGGAAGAAATGATTCTTCCAAATACTCCAGGCATGTGTGTGAACCTCTCTCAGCTTAGCTTTCCAATTCACAGCATCCTTTGAGTTGAAGGATCTGGGAATGAAGGCCGACCCAAAGAAGAGTGGAATGCTGCAGTCCATCTATGACCATTACCTCAATTATCTCCTCAATTGTCTAATGAGTCTAATGTTTTATCATGTTTCGTAATGTTCTGTAATGTTTTCTCATGTTTCCGTAATTGTTTATATTTTCTATTAGGTTTTATTGATGTGTTTTAATTTGTTGACAGTTTTGATGACCCTTCATGAACCCACCCCTGATGAGACTACCTGTTCTCATCAAAGAATATCTCTGCGTTTCTCCCAGGTTGTTTAAAACTACCCGTAGGTCTTGGCCGATGGCCGACTCGGCAGAGACACTCGTTTCTAGGAACGAAGTAGACAACAAAAGGAACCTTCTTTCAATGAATCGAGGCAATGGTACGCGCTGCCTCTGACAGCCAAACTCTTTGTCATTCTATGTCATTCTATGTCATTCTACGAATACCACAGCTTTTGGCAGTGTTCTAGCCGCCGCGGCTATGAAAAAACAAAAGTCTTGAGCACTCTTCGCATAATCAAGCGACCCCGAAACCCAACCCAACTTCCTTTCAGGTTTTAGGACAAGCGTGCGAAGCCGTCAAAGAGAAGTTTGGGCTGTCCTGTGATGGAGGCCACTCGTACCAAAAAACAGGACCGACAGGAAGATCCAGAAATGCAAAACAACACAGGACAGCCGCATCAACAACCCCACACCTAAGTGACTTTGATCACCAAAACTCTGGTCCTGTCTTGACTTGTAAACACAGTAGTTCCTATCAGTTTCGTGTTGTGTGTTGTTCCTACTGTTTAAACAGAATTTCATGACTTGACAACTTCAGCACAGACTGAGCTCTTCCAGAAACATTTTGGGAAGATCGTTGCTCCTCAACATTTGCGCATTTTTGTGCGTGTTTCTGAATCTTCAGCTCGGCCGAGGAGTGAGTCGTCAAACAATTGTTGCAATTTTTTCAAAGCTAGCGCAGTATAGAATGCGGCCTTGGAGTCAAACTGGGCATCAGTGCAAATTTGACAGTCTGAGCTGTGTGGGCGGCGACTGCAGGGACAAACATCCGAAGGCCACATTGTGACCCAGCATGATCAACACGAACATGTCATGCCATGGCCAGCGAGTCAACACTCAAGCTCATTACAACAGCCGCGCATGTCATCAAAGCACCTCTGGATTTGCACATGTCATGTTATGGCCAATCAAAACACCCTCTTCACTCAATCAAGGCTGAGCGTCCACTCGAAGTACCCGTCAACTTTCAGCTCATCTTCTGCTGGCCAAGCATGTCGGGTCGTTGGATGCCCGTCTCGGCAGCCTTTTGAGAAATGACCTTCCTGTAAAGGCAAACTCTCAAACCACAAACCCCATCAAACCTCACCGTTTACTGCAATTCCAGTTGATCCACCTCAACTCACTTAGCCTCGGGCAAGATAGGGTATCAATCCAGGAATTTCAGCAGCCTCGTGGAAAACACACGTTAAAATTTGCGAGTGGGCATTAGCCGAAAGATTTTCGTGAAAATAACAATCGACCACCGCCGCGTCCATGCGAAGTCGAACTATAAGCTCAGTCTCTTTTTGCTGGGGCGCTTGAGCCAAAAGTATCTGCAACGTACATGTGCCTATGTCATATCATTCTCTACTCTCATTTCACTTCCACGGTCACCCCCCATGTATGAATGGCCTTTGACCTTCCGTACACGCTTGAAAATACGAGGGTCAGGTAGTTTTGAGGGGAGCATATAGTTTGGCGCCGCGAGATCTTGTAATCTCAACCACATAGTCTGGACAAAAGAATGTACGCAATTGAACTGGATGGAAATCGATGGCCACGCTCAGAGATTCCCTCAGTACATCTTCAGCACGAGATAGTCTCAAAATTGAGTTTGCAGTTTGCATGTTTGTAGCTTCGATTCCAACAAAATGATATTGCAAAAAGAATCCTCTGCTCGATATGGGACTGTACTTTCGGCGAAACATTCGGGGAATGTTCACCATTTTCGTTCCTGCCATGAGTTTCTTTTGCCACGCCATTGATGATATTCATCATGTTCACGGGAATGAGATCCGTGTTGGTTGCTCCCTTTGCCCTCGGGGTTCAACCGTGGACGCCGTTGCGATGATGACGTCGACGTATCAGCATATCTTCGTCTGGAAACCTCAGGCGCTTCTGAGGGCTTTGCCCGTGGCATGTCCTCTGTAGATGGAGTCCCTGCTTGTTGGCGTTCGTTGAACCCTGGTGCATAGGTACCAAAACCGTAGGTAGCAATTGCTTCTTGCAGTTGTGGCCGGCCAAGAGATTCTTACATGTTGTGAAGGCATTAGGCTCTGAATCTTTAGCAAGGTTGCTCTCCAGTCATTTACATTCAGCAAGGTGGCTATCCAACTATTTAGCAAGGTACCGTGGCTATCGAACCATTTGTCAAAGTGGCTATCCAGCCATCTAAAGGCAGTCCTCCCACCAGCCGCTCCAGTCAACTGCATCTGGTGGCTCTGTGGGTGAGTCTGCAGCAGCTGATGCAGCAGCTGGTGCTGGCTCAGCTGGTGCTGGCTCTCCAGCCGTTAGACAAGCTAAGCAAACAGCTGTGGCTATCCAGCCATACTATTTACATAAATGGCTATCCAGCCATGAGACAAACAAAGCAAACGCAGCTTCGGCTATCCAGCCGTACTATTTACATATCATTAATGGCTATCCAGCCACAAGCAAACCAGACAAAGCTTCAGCTATCCAGCCAAACTATTTACATTAATGGCTATCCAGCCATGAGACAAGCAAAGCAAACCAGCTTGACGCCAAAAGAACCACCGTTGAAATTACCATTGAAAATCAATAGAAACCTCATCTAAAACCAAAAGAAATCACCATTGAACAACAATAGAAATCACTTTTAAAAACAATAGAAAATCAGTATTTGTTCTGATCAAAAATCAATAGAAATTCTGCTATCAAGTTCAACATTTCTATTGAAAAACATGAAACTAGCTGTTTCCATCGCTATTGATTTTCCATTGAAAAATGGGTCGCGGAGAGTTTGGTAGCAAGTTTACTGGGAAATCTTGCGGCAAGGATGAGATGATGACTGATGTTCTTGATCAATAGTCTTTTCCACTCTCCATTGGTGGTGTCCTTGTACCAAGTGCCTGTCACATATTCCCATGGCACCGTCTTGAACATTATCACGTATGAACTTTCTGCTAGACGTGCTCCGAGATGCTTCAATAGATGAATCGGTGGAATCTCTTGGCATCTTTCTTGTCCTCAGCATCGTCTCTGATCTTTTGTCCCACGGGGCATAGTGACTCAAGAAAGTGCTGTTCCTCATGCGTCCTGTTCCTCCTGGCGTGGTTCGAAATTGCATGATCGAGGCTATGCGATCCAACGTTGCCACATGATAGCTTCCACCTAGACTTGTTGCAATCGCGTCGGACAGGACGCGTGATGTATAGTATGAGAAGGATATTGCGTCACAATCTTTTCTTCATCATCGGCTGAGTTGCGCTCACTCGTGTTGTGGGGTGCTGCTGCTCGAACTGCCACTGGATATGGCCATCTTTGATGTCGTGGTCTTTTCAAACTTTCAGTCGAGATCCCTTCTGATGACCAGTAAGCTGATTCATCTTCATCCTCAAGGTCTTCTCTTGAATCTCGCTCGACTCTGGAGTCTCTTTGATGCCCACATGGCCCTGCAGATGAGAAAGTATCGTTCCGCGCGGAGCTCGTTGGTTACTCCATCTCTTTCTGCTCTTCTGAGGTCATGTCCATAGGTGTCATCAAATAGATATTCATGGTCCATATAGTTGAAGATCGTCGAGGTTCACCCATCCTCCTTCATTGCACTTCACACCTCGGTGTGACCTTTTCCCTGGCTTGGGTTTCATGTATTCCCTTCCAATTCCATGTCTCAGCAGACGATTGAGTTTGTGACTCACGTCATCGATCCACTTGTACTTGGGGGCGTCTGTTCGATGTACTCGCCGGATCTGAAGTTTGGCGGATTCATGTAGTACCCTTGATGGTTCGTGCATCCATTCCAGTATTCCACTCAAAAGGTTGTTGCACCATTCTGAGGGATGGTTTTGATGGCTCCTTTGTCGCAAAATGGTTCTATTTGAGCGTACATCTTCTTGTGAAGCTGAAGTGGATCAGGTACAAGATTTTGCACTTTTGGAAGTCGTGCCCCGTTTGGCCTGTGCTGTCAGGAACACTTCAATTAGCGCATCCTTGTATCGTGGACCTGAAGCGTCGATGAATCTGTTGGATACCTTGTAACGGCCTCCTTCATTGCGATCCCCAATCTCGAACACGGCTATTGGCCGTTCGAATCGCGTGTAGACCGTCGCATTGTTGAATTCTTCTTCGTGCGTTCTACCGCTCAGTCGTAGTATTTCTTCATGTCTTCGTCTTAAGATGGCCGAACCCCTAATAAGACAGGAGATTAGCAAAGTTCTATTTCTATGGAAAAAGTTCATTTTTGTATTGAAAAAGTTCAACCAAACATAGAGAGTTCCAAAAAAAGTTCAAGCAAACCTAGAAGGGTTGGAAAAAAGTTCAAGCGAACCTAGAACAGTCCCAAAAAAGTTCAAGCAAACCTAGAAGGGTTCAAAAAAAGTTCAAGCAAACCTAGAAGGGTTTTAAAAAAGTTCAAGCAAACCTAGAAGGGTTAAAAAAAAGGTTCAAGCAAGCCTAGAAGGGTTAAAAAAACAGAAAACGACGTTATGCGGGTGTGGTTTTTACGCGTTTTTGTGATTTGTGGTTTTCTGTGTTTTTTTGAAAATGTTAGTTGTTTTGAAGAACGTGTCTAGCAAAAATGTCGACTTGTAATCTATCAAATTTCTCATCAACCTGATTCAAACATACTAGTTCTCATTGATTCCCACACAGAAGTCCATCAACCATCATCTATCAGCAAGTCCACGACATCCCATCATACAACATCAGGTCATCACCTCTATGAGGGAGATCTGGTCTCCAAGACCTCCAATCTCAATCAGTCCTCAATCTCCAGCAACTGGGGCCTGGGCCTGGGCTTCTCTAGGGGGGGGGAGCGCCCCCCCAAAAAAAATTGGTTGTCCAATTCCAGGAGCAATTTTTTTTCGGGCGCCCCCCCCCCCCTAGAGAAGCCTAGGCCCAGGCCCCACTTGCTGGAGATTGAGGACTCATTGTCAATTCCACGAGCTGGAAGTGGCCCAGGTGCTAGAGATAGTCAAGATTATTGATTTCATTATAGCTACCTGTGTAAGAGTAGCAATTCCACCACAACTTCTTATATTCCTCTCGTCTGTTTGAAGACACAACTGTCTGCTCCTGCAAGCACTTGTATATACTGTAGGCTCTATGTGGTGAGGGTGGATACCTATACTGTATGGTCTCAATGATGGAGTGTGGAAGATTGTCTTGATTTGATGGCTTAAGATATCCAATGAAAGAGAGAGATGGGCATATAGCTAGAGAGCATAGGAAAATGGAACTTCCAATGTGGATGAAATGAGATGAGATGAGATGAGATGAGATGAAGCATTGGGTGCATCAAACAGCTAGCATTGGGGTTGTGGCTGTATGTATGCAATTTCATTTGAGACCAAAGGCGGCTGCATAGACGCAACACCTGCATGAGAGATTGGGATCCTGACTTTGAGCAAATTGTATTGCTATACAAGCCATTGAGCAAATGCCCCAGACACCAGCGCAATATGGATGGCGCTTTGATTGGGTTTGTTTGGCCTCCAAGAGCACATGGGCACCATGTGAGAGGGAAACTTGCTGGGCAATCAATGAGGATGGGGTCCATGGAATGGGTTTGTGTGCATGGTTAGGTGGCCCAATGGAAGATCAGAACCATTTGGGTACAACATTGGTTGATCCTCATGATTCATGATAATGGTAGAGCATATTTTTGGCACAATTTATTGGTTTACTTTTGGGTGGGTGTTGGTGAGGTCCAATGAGGTTTTGAGCTTGGGTGGCATCACGAGAAAGAATGTCCTTGGTGCCAGGTTTGGTACAACCTGACTTCATGTATGTCTATGTGTGGGCGAGAAGGTTGGGGTGAAGAGAAGGTTCTTCATGAGCTTGGGAATGAGTAGTGGCCACACAGCCAATTCAGACCCTTAGTGTATTTATGGCTGGATCGTTCCATGGGCTTCATAAGGTTCTTTGGAAGATTTCGTCGTAGATGCGGGGATATGGAGCATAGACCTGAAGAGCCATTGGGTGAGAACAGTGGAGATGAGCAGGATTGGTCTAATCGAACTTGTGGGATAGGATGTGAGCTCCCAATGCTCGCAGAATGGTTCCCTATGACCTTGAGAATGAGGATGAGGCTGATTGTGGGTATGGGCGTCAAGAAGGCCATGCAAAGCCCAATTCCAATCAGTCATCCAGGCCCAGTACTACTAAGCAAGTTTCTCAACTTTTGTTGGGCCTGGTGGGCACATTGTGTTTCAAGATAATGATCTTC